AGTGTAGAACTGAGATCCTGCTCAAAACTGTGTCCATGCATTGAATCCATAGCGTTGTTGGTATCTTGATTGCTACGACATGTCCTCCTCCGTTCATCACGAATCCACTGACCTGAATTCCAAAAAGTAAGTTAGATGTACTTGTGGAAGACCATTAAGCAAAAAACGACTTCCAAAATGTAATAACTTCATATATAATGCACATGTTACAAACTTACACTTACCCATACAAGGATCCCATTCTGTTTGGAAGTACTTCACAAATTGTGGCTTACAGAGCTGAAATTTTTTGTAAAATAACAAAATCTTCATCGCAGCAGATCTTTCCACATCAAATTTTTCTCCATCAGCAGTCAATGTGCTTTCAAAGCATAGGTCTTCTAAGGCAACATTCATAATAGCTCTCTTTTCATGACCACTCACAACCTCAATCAATTTCTTTGTCCATGCTTTTTGAACATGATATATGCAAAGAAATATAGGGATATGTGGAAAAACGATGTCTATGGCAAGTCTCTCATTGTCAGCACAATCCGTCATGAAGCACGAGGGCATCCATCCAGGGATATAATGTTGGGCCATCTTCTTCACTGCAGATAATAATTCCACCAGATCTTTTGTTCTTCTTTTTCGAGGAATTCAAAAACAGTAGGATGTCCGTGTTCATATTCGTCAAACACCATCAAGGTGTACAGTGTATACTGCATTGCAAAAATTGAAATAAATGTATCAGTTTGCTGCTAACGGTCGTTTACAAAGTATTCATCTTTATTGATACTAAACTAAACCTGATACAAATGAATGATTCGCTATTTTTATGTCTTGATAGGCTAGACGTGATCAAGGTATATAAAACAACATATACATCACACATTGAGAAGTTCAATAATGTCTTACAAGACTGATTAAAGCTCCAAACCGTCATTTTTTAAAGTATCTTGCAGATATTGCAAATTGTAAGGTAGAATATACATAATCATGGAAGCCTGACGATAAAAACATCAAAATGGACAAGTAGAATAATACCTTATGCTTCTGCGTGCCATGCGTTTCATCTATAGCAACACAACCTCCATTTCCATGTTTTAGCAACCAATCTAGGAGCAAGGGTCTTGTAACAACAAGCCTCAATGGTTTAAATGTATCACTTTTTGATGCATAATACAAAACAACTTGAGATGAATTCACTTTCATCCATAATTATGTGCTAATTCTATCATTAGCATGCCTTCTCCAAGTGTCTTTGTCTAGTTCCAATTTGATATTATATACATCAGCAGATGTGATATAATGATCATTAATAGAGGTCCCTTGCACATAACCCAAGCTCTGATGATTTTCAAACAGTGCTTTTGCAGCACGCATGAGAATTTGTGGAGGAGTTAAACCTCTTCTTGACTCGCATTCAACCCACTTCATGGCAAAAGAACGTAGAAAATATTAGACAACGTGCTTGCTTAGCGTCAAAGTTTTACAAACTGTAATAACAACAAACTTATTGTACATATTACAAATATGACGGGAGATTGACTGTGAACGATAAACAAATACAATTATGAATTCAACAGTGCTTCAAGATTAACGAATTCCTGGAGAGCTCATCAATTCGTTAATGTTGAAGCACATGGTGCCATAAATACTTTGGTTCTGGCCAATTTCCTCTCATAGCGATGGGTAGAACCTCGGGTTCAACCTCGGAAATTCTATAGAGATTTGCATCGATCCATCCGCCTCTTGTCATCTTGTCGTGGATGATGAGTTTTGGCGCTACCGTGCACCAGCAAGCATACGAGTACCCAGGGTTTTGGCGGTTTACGGGCGACCATGCGGTTGTTGAAATCTTGAATTGCGTCGTGCGTTGGGACTCTCGGCTCATGAAGCAGCCGAATTGAAGCATCATCAATACGTGAATGTCTTGAGGCGGGCGCTTCCTGTGTTCGTCGCTGCGATAGAACATGATATGACCCGTAGAGCGCCCTTCAAAAATCCGGGTAGTAATCATCCAGGCTCTCCTCTAGGTTGATGATGAGGCAACGAGGCAGCAAAGGGCATTTATCGTATTTTTGGAGCGCAGCATTAGGCGCGTCCAAAGACAAATCCATGAAGATCCTATGGGCCATTCCAAGGGACCTAAAGTGATAATCATATCCGGTTTCCCCCACACACAAGAATCCGTAAACATACATGGGAATGAAGTGATTGGTCATTCGGTTCCGGATTTCAGACCGGAGATTGCTTTGTAGTTCCAACACGGCGTCATGAAGTTCTTCGGATGGTGGATTGGTCATGCGTATCCGTAGCACCACATCGCCACCGCCCCCCATGATTAAAGAAGTTATAGTCCAAATTTTCATCGTATGCTCGTCCTCTCGGACGACTTTCAGCTCATAGCTCGTGCCCCACGGACGATCGGGAGCAACAGCAGCTATTTCGCGGATGATGAAGTCACCCGCAGCCAAAGAGAAAACTCTGTCGAGAACAAGCTTATCGTGATAATAACTCGTTATGTCATTCTTCTCCGTGGGATTTGACTCCGATTGGGCTACCATGTGCCACATTCCGGCGCATCCGCAGTATCTTGGTGGTGGAGGTGGAGGGTAGCAGTCTGCAAGGGTTTCCAGATATACATACTGGACGTGAACTCCATAATCAGTGCTTCAACATTAACGAATTGAAAGGGTCATCATAAGGTGGATCCTGCACAATCCATCCTGCCTCCATGCTGTCATTACACCTGCAAAAAGCACCTAAAATGACAAGAAAAGTACACGCACGAGCTCTAGCATGAGCTCCTCAAAGCACTGACACTGGCACCCAAAAGCGACGTCGAAACGACGAGCTGAAGAATATCGATGTGATCCTATTTACAAAAACCCTAATCTTTGCCGCTTAAAATTTTGTCACCTCAATACGTTATTACCGTTTGATTACAAATATTACAGTTTGAACATTAGGGATTCCAACTGAGCTATCCCTCTTGCGGTTCAGTTTTAGTTTTTAGTTCCCGCAACGTTTCACGACACGATCGCGATCATTGTTACGGCGTAGATCATTGCAACGCAATAGATACAACGTTGCGGCCTCTACAGTGACAGCCTCTTCTACATACTTGTTGGAATTCAATCCGGTTGAGGGCCTCTACATGGTTGCCGGAATGTAGGGTCTGCCGACCCTCAAGTTCCCAAAACTGAGATAAAATCCGGTTGACTCGGAGCAGCCCGAAGATAGCATGAAGAAAGAAAGAGGAGAAAGAACCTGACACCTAGCAGTACGGCAGTTTGTAAAAGTTTGTGCAGCTAAGCGAGTCGATAATTCACTACCTTTGACTTTGTGTGCCGATTTCAAGTGGGACTTCCAACCTTAATCATTGCTTTTATGGTAGTATCATTTTTTGCATAAAGTGCATTTGCGTTTGTTGTGTTGTCGGATTTCCAAGTGTGGACATACATCCACAACAAATTGAGCTTCTGTCGGTTACACTTGGAGGTGCTCAAGTTCACCATCGATATTAGTTTCACAAATTTACTATTTTTACTTTTTGTTGATGCCTTCGAACTGTACAAAGCTACTGAAAATTTTGCTGACATCGCTCATCTTGATCACTTGGACCGACGATAGATCATTATGCCCACTATATTTGGAGACCGTAATTAACCAAGTTGGCGAAAGCCGGAAATTAACCATGCTGCAAACTTAAAATTCATTACCCCAGTAAGGGTAAATAAATTGCCACTACCTTTACTCTACCCTCTATGTTAACCGTTGGTTACCTTTACACATTTACCTTTGACTATTATCTTTTAACCGCAAATAAAAGTTGTTTTACTTTGCTTAGCCGAGGACTACGCTCAACTTTAGCGACTCAGTGAAGCACTTTTTGCGTTGGAAAGATGTGCCTAGCAGCGAGTCCCGAACTGTGTTCGTACGAAGCCCCGGCATTATGCGAAAAGGCATATTGTCGGGGTGAATTTAGTCTGTAAAGTTCCAATTGTACTTGAGTGATGTCGCTCGCTTGGTTCTCTTGACCGAATACGAGGAAGGCGACTCCTTTCCGGGCGATGACCGAGTCAACCCCCGATGCATGACACTTGTCACACAGACAGATGGTTTGACTAAGTCATAAGCGACTTCTGCCAACAACATGAACTCGAACTTGATAAACAAATTCGGTGAAACTTCCCGGCGAGGCCAAAAGTTTGTCCTTTCCTTGCCTTTTCAATAAAAATGTGCTGCTCGCTTACCATTGTTTCACGCGGCGGGGCAGTATGAGACTGCCCGCGACGGTACCAGATTGCCGGTTCCTCATTATTATTATCTCAGCCCCGAAAACGAGCCCATGTCGACTCTAGTATGGCGTTCAGTCCTATATTATGTCTGAAACTCTGGAGGAGCATGTGAGACCTTCCTGCTTCTGACTGTATCCACACAGCATGTCAATTCTTGGGGCCTGCAATGGCCCCAAGAATTCGATGGCTGTATGGCGGTTCTCTAGACTAGCGGACGTTAGTTTCTTATGTGGTTGACGAGGCAGTCGAGGGAATGCAGCACTTCCCTATTGTATAAATTTTTTTTAGGTGAAGTTCTCCTCTTTGATGTTGAGTCAAACCTGACGATATGAGATGACTGCGGCAGGGGCATAAAGGTACAGTCCTATGTCTGAGAGTCCGCGGTTTGCTATATCTTGAGTCCAGGTCAACGAGACCCCAACGACCGTGCACGAGTCAGGAATTATTCTAGTGGAGACTCTAGATGAGGTCCTGTGTCTCGTTAGATGGTTGGTGGCGAGTGCGGAGAGTACAGAAGACTGCACGATAAGGTCAAAAGCCTGACGTGAGTGCATCCTGGATGGACTTCAAGACCGTTTTCATTGAGTAGGACAGAGAAACACAAAAGAACACTGGATGCCTGGGGAATCTGGACCATGATTTCCAAACGAGCCAACTTGAAGTTGGAAGGAAGTCTGTACTGAGGCACTCGAGGTCATCTGGTCTGTCAAATGATTCGATCGAAAGTGAACGACGGAATGATTTATAAAAGAATTCCCAAATTAACGCTGTACAGTGTAATATTGCGAAGAGAAATTGAAGCGCTAAGGTGAGGGTGCGAATGCGGCACCAACAAATAGTCTATCGAACAAAGAGAACGCCTCTCAGCTGCTCAGTGGGTTCTGTTTCCATATATTCACAGGTCGTCTTAGTGTTAAACGGTATGTACATCGATCAAGCTGTGACAAGCGTATGGACATCAGTAACTTCTCCTCCTGGCCTTCGTGCAAATTGTAAATCACACTCTCCGCGCTCCCAACCGGATGATCGCAAACAGCGAACTTACTTCCTTTTTTCTTGTGACTACGAGCTCCCCAACATTCTGAGACTACTAATTGTACGCCGCCATGGCGTAGTAGGCTCGATGCAGCCGAGATTGTGTTGATGAAGGACGACAATGCAATGCATATCGTACTTCGTTGCTGTGTCCGTGCAGACCCCAAGTAAGGGATAATGCACTGCTGCCCGCTCGATGGGGGGCGATTTCCTTCTATACGCCGCCTCGATTCTTTGAATTCCACGCTCTCTGACGTAAAATTTCAGGAACCCAAGCTTAAACGAAGGCCCTATAGCCTTGCATTTTGTAAATCTAGAAACCAAAGGAATCAAACGTGAACCGATAACTTTGTTGGCCCCATGCCTCTCGAAGGGATCGAAGCATTCGAACTCCGAATATAACAGACTGGGATGTTTATCTCACTCGTCTCGCTCGATGATGCTTAATTCCTTCACCTTCTCTCTGCCTTTGAAGGTGCGGAAGCCGATGCTGGGACGCGAGGAAGCGTAGCTGCTCGCAATCCAATTCAGGCACTTGATGCTTCAGTGCTGGTCAGATTTCACTGTAAAGACCTCACGGAGGTCATCCTGGAATCCTGGGCCCTAGGAGTAGACAGCCAGACGACGGATGGAGTTCGCAAATTGCTGAGCTATCATATCCAGACTGTCAAAAATGGAATCCGTGCAGCCGACTATCTGACTGGTATCCACGGATGATGCCTCACGCTGAGTGTGCTTCATCTCCGACTGAGGAGCTGGTGTCTGACTGCTTCGATCGCTTGGGTAAGACCAAAAATTCTCAGTCTGCGAAGGGGGTGCAGGCTCCTCAACCAACACCTGGTCGCCTGACTTTGAAACCAGCGAATCGCCCAAATTTCGATTTCTTAAACCTTCAACTGAGACAAGATCGAGCCCAGAAGTATCAGTAGGTGGTGCCAGGGTCTTCTTTGACTCCACAACCAGCTGGTTGCAACAGCTGGGAGTAGAACTCTGCAAATTCGCCAGGATTTCAGAGCCGATTGCCGGTTGTGACGGCTCGTTGTTCTCCTGGACTCTCAGATGATCACCACCACTCGGTACGGACAACAGCTTTTGGTATTCTGCGGGAGGTGATCTATCGTGCTTCGCCTCCACTGTCAAGTGGTCTCCCCCACTTGGAACGCTTTCTAAGTTTTGATATTGTGCTGGAGGCGATCGATGGCGCTTCTCCACAGTCAGGTGGTCTCCCCCACTCGGAGAGCTGTACAAGGTTTGATATTGTGCTGGAGGCGATCGATGTGGCTTCTCCACTGTCAAGTGGTCTCCCCCACTCGGAGAGCTGTACAAAGTTTGATATTCTGCTGGAGGCGATCGATGTGGCTTCTCCACTGTCAAGTGGTCTCCCCCACTCGGAGAGCTGTACAAGGTTTGATATTCTGATGGAGGCGATCGATGTGGCTTCTCCACTGTCAAGTGGTTTCCATCACTTGGAACGCTGTCTAAATTTTGATATTGTGCTGGAGGCGATCGATGTCGCTTCTCCACTGTCAGATGGTCTCCCCCACTTGGAACGCTGTCTAAGTTTTGATATTGTGCTGGAGGCGATCGATGTCGGTTCTCCACTGTCAAGTGATCTCCCCCACTTGGAACGCTGTACAAATTTTGATATTGTGCTGGAGGCGATCGATGTCGCTTCTCCACTGTCAAGTGGCCTCCCTCACTTGGAACGCTATCTAAATTTTGATATTGTGCTGGAGGCGATCGATGTCGCTTCTCCACTGTCAAGTGGTCTCCCCCACTTGGAACGCTGCTCGACAATTTACTGAGGAGCTCGCCGTGTAAAGTTCGATCCTTCTTCACAGCTTCCACCATCAGGTCGTTGCCGCCGCTTGGAGTGGACAGTGTGCTGTAAGTCTCACTCGCAGTTAAATGTGCAGGATGATTTATCACCACCTTGCTATCGACCACCTTCAGATCATTTGCTTGGCTACTGCTCTGTAAGGACGCGATTTGGATTGGGCTCGAAAGCTGCTTTCCATGATCAACGGCTTCTCCATTCACCCTGAGTTCCTCCACATTCGGAGCAGAATTTTTGCTTGGAAGCGGATCTGAATCAGCGAGCAAAGACCTGGAAGAAACAAATAGAGCTGACGCTGATGCGAGTAGGGCTTCTCCTTCGCAAAGTCCTTTGGCCACTCGAAGCTGTTCCTGAGGCAAAAGTCGAGACTCGCTTCCAGGGGCACTGCCCAGAAAGAAGAGAACTGCAAACCACAGCATCATTGTGACGGACGCCATCTTTGGTGTCCAATTGTCCTGTGGAAGCTATCCAGTGCACTTGCTATCCAGACTGACGAGAAAAATCGATTGAAGTTCCAAGTTTTTTGATTCTCGTGAAGTGTTTTTTTCTGATTCTACTACGTTTGCAGGATATTGGGAAGAAAATCTCACTATCTCACTATTCAGAGTTCTGTCGATTGCGACGGTTGATGGAGTCTACCAGGAACACACTGGGTCTCTGTGTTCGGAGTACTGTGGACTGGAGTGAGGGAATGAGATAATGGCGGAGGCTGAGATCAACTTATACCCGGCCGCTCAAGAAGAAAAGTATATGTCAGCGTTGAATACTGAAATCCACGGCATGGAGGAGGGAAGCGCTTGTCCGACACGGAGACACGGCAAAGGAGCTGAAGAGCCAGAACTCCGCAGTCTGACTGACAAGATATTCTCCGGTCAGAGAGGGATGAGGACAGATGGATTAATTAGCACAAACATGCTTACGCTGCTTAATTATCTCCGTTATCGATAACTTACAGGACACACACACGACCCCTTCAATGCTCAGATCATCCTCTGTGGTATCAAACAGAATATGCACATCCCCACGACCGTGGCTTCACTTGCAGCTGTCCGTCGCCTACTGCCACTCTGACCGTCGCTGTTCTCTGACCCCCTTTGTAATCGCAAATTGCATTTCAATGAAATTTGGTCTCCCGAAAGACGAGTAACGCGAAATGAAGTTCACATTGACCAAGAATCTGCGCATCTACCGGAGTCCGAGTGACGTCCAAGCCCGGTGGCTGCCGGTGATTCGTCTTGTCCTATAGCCGTAGGTGGCAAGCCTTCGTCGAACATCACAGGTTCACCTCTCGACATGCCATGGTTATCTCCGACAACTCTAGCCGCCAATGCCGCACTGGCGGTGCGGCTCCCTGTCGACTATGTTTCCCGGCTGATATAGATCTGTAGGTAGAAATGGAGGCTTCTAAGTCCGGCAGCGGGGAAGACCATGTCATCCAGGCCGCTATTCTGTGTGCACATGCCGGACCGATGCACGTTGTGTCGACACAGAGGCAAAATCTGCTGCCAATGCCGCTGTAGGTAGAAATGGAGGCTTCTAAGTCCGGCAGCGGGGAAGACCATGTCATCCAGGCCGCTATTCTGTGTGCACATGCCGGACCGATGCACGTTGTGTCGACACAGAGGCAAAATCTGCTGCCAATGCCGCTGCCTGTTGACTGTGTTTCCCAGTTGACACCGTTTTGTAGATAGAAATGGAGGTTTCTACATTCAAAGGTTCTCCCTTTTCATTTGCTGTTCTGCACACAATGCTGCAGTGTACTTGTACCCTACGAGAGTCAGCGGCGCCTCAGCATTGCGTTTAGAAACTAGCTTTTCATCCGGTGGGTCCGATGCTCGATCCCTTTAACCTTGACTTGCGTCGCAAGGGGAGTGCGAGGTTTAATTCCTTACTCGGTGCCAAGGTCTTATGGATTCCATCCACGTGTGTCGATTCAGGTTCGACCACAAATTCAATGGGTGCGGTGACTTGAAGGTTCGGTGACAATACTAAATTTTCTACGGTATGATCACACAAGATATATAATCTGAGCGTATACGCTTTGGCAAGATGAATCATTATATAAAAAAGACGTTTCAGGGCAAGCAGATAGACTTGTATGGTAAGCCATGAACCATAAAAGTCGTATGGTTTATACAATCATGATCACAATCGCCCCGAGATTGAACCTAAACTTTTGTTTAACATGGCTCTACAATTTCGCCCTCTCATGACGCGTTTTGGCTGTATTTTCGTTGCTGTATCAATCCTTTTCCACGCTGTTCTAGGTACTACTAAATTCAGTGTTGAATAGAAATATAATATATTTTCGTCTTTGCAAATCATGGTATTATTCGTTAAGAGTGTATTTGAATCAGAGCAAGAAGTCAATAAAATTACCACTTGTGACAAAAAGTGTAATTCTATCGTCTTTCGTCTAAAAACTGTATAATAATGTTCAATCTGAGATACTTGCGTACTGCACTTGGTGAAATTGTGAAGTACTCATTGACAATACTTAAGTCAACAGTTGTGCCGAGGCGAACGTTTCACACCCATCTTCGCCCTCAATCTGTTGTTCTCGGCGCTGAATGATGGCTTATGCTAGAGGCTCAACGTACGGTAGCTCGTGAGGGAATTCTCGTTTCTACGTCAGTTTCTATCACATGGTTTACCAGCGTCAAACCACATGGCCGCCTCCTCTGCTGCTCGCGGCATTGACTCCTTGTTACACTCGTGGGAGAATTCCAAAAGTTTTACCAGGTAAATATCACAGTACAATATATGGAAGGGGGAACAATTAAACATTCTATCAAGCACGGAAGAATAGTATCTAACAGTATCATGGGTGGAAACATATAAGTACTGTACAATGTTTACACCTTATATATTTCATCTATTGAGTAAATCATACTTTCTAAGTTAATATACGTAATCTAGCCTTATCAGCTGTACCTTAATTACAATGAGTTAGTCCAAATATCAGTTTCTATAATATCAGTGTCGTATATATAAAGTACACGGTGAGTAGGCAATTTTTTCATTTCGAATATTATTCTATAAAGAAAGTAGCTCCTTTGGTTTTAAAAATTAGCCCTGTGTTCAGAATTATACTTGTAAGGGTATGTTTCCACTTCATAAAGGAGCTGTTTTGCCTTAGGGTAGTTCTTCGAATCTTCTTGCAAATACGATATAATTTTATTTTCTTCATAATTCTTTGTTTCTCCTACTTGGTGGCCACATACTCAACCATGCGCTTCTTTTTCAATTCCTTCTCATCTTCCTCCCCATCAAATTTGACCTAAGATTGCTGGATACTTTTACAGTTCTTTGCATATGTTCTCGGGTGTATCATTCGAGCAAAGGTAGCCGAGATGAAAGTCAAAGTGAACCGCATATAGGAAAGTACAGACCACACCAGTCAATGTCAAAAAGTTTTAAGAAATGTAAAGAGTATGTTTGAGGTTGGAGATTGTCAGTTTTATATTCAGTTCCATTAGGATCGGGTTTGTTTTCTAGTATATAAATAATACTTAGAGTTTACCCTGCTAATAAGGTCTTAACATAACCGCTCTAGTACCGTAGTGACTTTAGCATTGACCACTGATTGAGAGTAGCCTTTTCCTGGATTCATATGTCAATCACACATCAAAATGATGACAATACGAAGTTAAAAAAAAGTGAGAGAATTACGTGAGCTTATATAAAATGGTAATCATACGAGAGATGAGAAAAGCCTTCAGACAGATCAGTAGCCTCATTATCAAGGCTCTTATTACGACGTACAATGTGCAGAAGCCCTGGCATTAAACTAGAAAGACCTTGAGACCTTCTACGAAAACTCATGGAGAGTATGTACGTTGGCATGATCAGCCTAGAGTCCAGGCTGGTCATGTACGTTCTCAGAACTCAGTCTAGGCCCTAGACTCAGTTTTGAGAACGTACATGAACACTGTCGTGCTCAACATACACACATGATTTGAATTCTGTACAAATTTCCTGCCAACACATGCTTAGAATTCTGAAACGAGTGTAAAGTTTATGTACTTTTAGTGCATGACGTGGTTTCCAGTTTCAAGAGCACATTTATAAGAGAATCGAATTGAGGATTATGTCGGTGGTTTCTACTGTACAGTGAAAATATTGTAGTATCAGGTTCTGCATTATTATTGTTGCATGGGCGAAACTTCAGCTGCTCCTACGACGACGAAAACCAGGAGGCTACATACTAGCTGACGCCGACCAAGAACAGCATGATTCTTCAATCGAGAGACAGAAGAGGCATCCTGTGTAGTTTCCCAATAGTCAAAGAGATCTGCCTCTTCTTTGCGAGGATATGTACCATGCATAAAAGCGACATTCTTAGAAAGACACATTGTACAACTTGCGAGGTTTCAAGAGGAGCATAATGACATCTCGTAGAAGATACAAGAAGCATAATATTCGAGAACCCAATTATAATGGTCAAAGTCATAGACAATATGTATAAGACTAAACATAATTCCGTCCCGTAAGTCGGTGTTAGACCTGTGCTTATGGAGAAGAGAAATCATCTCTATTCAGATAGGCTGATGTAAATTTGAGATATTTCCTCACAAATTTATCTGTCTGCATGTTGTACATTGAAGTATATACTTTTTTAGTCCAAAAGTATAGAGAATCATGCACAATCTAAATCATCATCCACTCAATTTCACATTGCCACCTTCGAACATTGGCTTCTTAGAAGTATTTATTCAAAATACATTCTTTCAGTTCACGATGGCAATAATACTCATTTTCCGGTAGTTGTAATGGAGCTTTCCAATCTACTTAAATTTGCTTCTACTAGTTATATACCAAGTGCGAACAAAATTGTTTGCATATTGTATTGTATTTATTGTGTTTGCTCATATATGCATGCATCTTTCTTAGAATAAATGACACAAATTTAGCTTTGACATGTTGATGTACATCAAATGTTACACTTTTGAAATAAAAAGACTCAAAAAAATCATTGGAAAACATCAATGAAATATTTGAAGAAATATTTGTCGTAAAATTTTCAAAGATGTATAAAAATAATAATTATTTGAACTATTTATGATACGTGTTGCTATGAAATTATATTTGAAATTTATGAAAGACGCAAATGAAAAAATTGAGTTGTCAAACGGGTAAATTAAATTCAAAGAAAATTTACCACGGAGTGTAGAATTTTCCATAGGTAAATACAAGGAGAACATTGAATGGAAAATATCTCACTTATTTCAATATGATAAAGTTATTGGAATGCCATGGATGAAATTGTATAACCTGGAATTAGATTGGAAAACAAAAATAATAACAAGTAATGGTTTGAAGATTTATGGAGATAAAATTAAATCTTAAAATAAGAATTTGACTCTATTTGTGATACATAAAACATTACTTTCTAAAGATGATGTATGTGTTTTTAGACTTATAAGAGATATTGGATCCATAGATTTATTTTCTTTCTTTGATTTATTGAGTAACACTTTTATTGAGTATAAAGATATTGTTAAAGATAATCTACCAGTATGATTATCACTAAAGAGTCAAGTAGATCACAAGATTGAGATATTTGAAAGTACATCAACTTGCTAAATTTTGTATTGTTTGACTCCAAACAAATAGGAAGAATACAAAGCTCAAGTGAAAGAGATATAAAAAAATGTATTCATTCAACCAAGTGTTCAAT